CACGGCCTCGCGGACCCAAGCAATCCACATACGTCATAAACCTGTCAAACCAAATACATCACGGCACTGCGGCCATCGCGGATCAATGCGCCGTCCAAAGCCAGCGAGTCGAGCGCCTTGACAGCGCGCATGGTCGATTGGCTTGTAGCGCAATGCAACCGCGTCCGTGGGTGGCGTCTCACTGACCACAAATGATATCACTAGCACCTCTCTCTTTCGATACACTGCGAGACAAAGATTGCACGACCTCGCGGACCCAGGTATCCAAATACAGCGTAAACCTGTCACAACAAATACAGCCGGCACGGCTCGTTGAAGTTGCCAGACGACAGATGCGAATCATTCGCGATTTGGAGGCTGACCCCGATGGCCCGCAAGATCACACCCGCCGAGGTAGAGCGATCGTCCTTGGCGGTGCTCACGCGTGCGCGTAGAGAAACGCGATTGAAGCCGCCGAGCGCAGCCTCTACGCCGGCGTCCACGCGTACCTGTCGACGATGGTAGCCGGGGCATACGGCAATGTCAACATCGCCGATCCGGTTCGAAGCGCATGCCAAATGCAAGCCAAGATGATGCATGCGCTGCGTAGGCGAAGCGAACGAACGAGTACACGCACACGCTCGTGCACGCAACGCTCATCGGCTTCAGCACGGGGCGCCGTGCCATTGAGAATGACATGGCCCTCGATGACGCTGCCAAGGACATCAAGGTCGCGGAACTCTGCCAAGCCCAGCTCGAGATTCTGGACCTTATTCTGCTCACCCGATTTGACATCACCGAAGTGTGCAGCCAGGTATGTCTTGTACGTGCACCGACTCGGCGCCTCACGACGACCTCGAACTCTAGGACGCGTACGTCAACAACGCTTCGTGGCAAATGCGTCTAACTGCTCACGCCGTAGCACGACGCTGCCGACCTTGACGATGCGATGGGTCGAGCCACCGTATACAGTCGCGTTCCTTCAGTGCCTCATGCATCCCGATCGCAGCGAGAGCGGCATCAAGCCCGATATGTGCGACCTCGTGCCCGTACGACGACACGGCATTCGAACCTCCATTTTCATGTTCCTTGGATGCCATTAGGGCCAGCCGTGCGTCTTCGAGGCGATCCAGCGCAGCAACTTCGACGCCGCCAAGTTCTTCTTCGAGCGTGGTATCGACGTGGCCATCACGAACGAGGTTGTCACTTGGGCTTCCAGCCGTCGACTTACATCATATACGATGGCCACAGGACGGCGAGGGCCTCTTGTACAACGCCGTCGTGCGCCGCGACCTGCGTGCGATCGAGTTCTTGCTCCTTCAAGACGGCATCAACGTCAACCAGACCACTCTCGGGGTACATCGACTGCTTATAAACTCACGTGCGCTCATGGGTTTGGTAGAGTCAAGAAACGCCGCTGCTGGCTGCGGTGGGCATGCGCGCAGCCGACATCGTGCAAGTCTTGGTCGAGCATAACGCCGATCCGTCGTTGCCGGACCTGGATGTACGTACTGTCAACTTTTTTAACGACGGGCTCCGACAGTATAGAGTGCTTAGAACAACACGCCCCTTATGATTGCCGTCAAGCGCAACTACAACGAGATTGTGGCCATGCTCCAGTGCAACGACGTCGATGTCAGCAGCGAACACGTCTTGGGTACGGGGGCAGCAAGCACCGTGTACAAGGGCGCGTTCAAAGGTCTCGACGTGGCCGTCAAGGTGTTTAATCAGGTGTACGACTCGTCGATTTGGACCGAGATCCGATTTCTCCCGAGGTACTTGAACTCATTTTCACATCGTGAACGATCGCTATGTTGGGTCCTAGCCTCCAGTCCGAGTACATTGTCAGGCTCATCCACGTCGACATCAACCCGGTCGAGGGGCGCGTCTCGTTCGTGCTCGAGCTCATGGCCATGAATTTGCGCCAGCGCTTGGGACAAGAGAACGAAAAGCTCTCGCTGGTTGAGAAGGTCCGCATCGCGCTTGATGTCATCCAAGGCGTCGCCTACCTGCACGAGAAGCAGATTCTGTACTGCGACCTCAAGCCGGAAAACGTGCTTGTCACCGAGAACGGCCGCGCCAAGCTCGCCGACTTTGGCATTAGCCAGCAGAGCACGCGCGGCGACGCAAAACTAGAAGGCACGCCGCAGTACATGGCGCCCGAGCTCACGGGCATCCCAGCCGCCGCACCTTCCTACGCCTCAGATGTCTATGCATTTGGCATCCTCCTCACCGAGCTCGATGCCAACACGGGGGAGGTACCGTACAGGCATTATGGTTACTCTTGCTTTGAGCTTTGGCCTCAAGTCCGAGGCGGTCTGCGCCCCGAGCTCCGTGACGATTGCCCTCCATGGTTTCGGGAGCTAGCGGTCAACTGCATGGCGACGCTTCCGGGCGACCGCCCCACGGTGTCGACGATCATTGACACGCTCAAGGCAAAGTTGCAGTAGATGCCAATCTAGTTACCCGTAGCGTTGTATTAACCACACCATGTATAAAGGCAAAGTGTAGAGTTCTAGAATGTACCTGGAACACGTCAGAAGTAGTTTCGCCTCGTCGATGGTGGCAAGGACTGATGACCACGTGAACACTGTTCTGTCCATTTTCGCCAAGGGAATAAATAAGCTATTTTATTCCCTTGATTTTCGCACACCGCTCTATATGCTACTTGTATAACTGCATGTCATCCGATGGTCCGCAGCTGGGTCCGCAGGATCTGTTGGGTGATGACAATCCGCTCACGGATGAGTCGACTTGATACTATCAAGTCGACTCGGAAAGTATCAAGTTAATACTTTCCGTCACGGGTGGATAATCGGTGGCTCATTTCACATTTTTGCATTTGCAGCAGTGCGAAGAATGCACCCTTCTTTCAAGGTACAGTGCGAATCCAGGAGGCCGAAAACGTGAGCTCATGCTACCATGTGCGCTCGCAGGACACGGACATCAACCTCGCAGCATCGACCGACACTGGAGCCAGGCCACCCACAAGCCCCCAGGTCTGTTTCAACCAAGGGCCGCTTAACAAGCTACTAGCGCTTTTTTTCTATTCACGCATATTGAGCTTGAAGTCGTAGACCAAGTCCGTGACTTTCGACCAACTGCCCTTTGCTGTCGACACCAGCAGCCAGTGGTTTCGAGGGCAATTCAATGGCCGCGACGTCATTAGCAAGTCGATTCGCACGACCGACCCTTCCGTGTGGACCGACCTCCGCCTGCATTCCAGGTATATTCCTCGACAACGATGCCTCGTCACGACTGAGATACGCGGTAGCTTCAAGTCGCCGTACGTCATTGAGCTCCTTGATGGGAGCATCGATGCAACGACCGAGAGCGTGCGGCTCATCTTCGAGTCCATGGAGGGCACCCTTCGAGGCGCACTCGACTCGAACGTGCTCGACGAGTGCAAGAAAATACAAGTGGCGGTCGACATCGCACGTGGCCTCGCGTACGTGCACGGCCAATCGCTCGTCCACTGCAACCTCAAGCCCGGAAACGTCTTTGTTGATCATTCCGGCCGCGCCAAGCTCGCCGACTTTGACTTGTGTTGCGACCCAAAGCACGTGCGCAAGACCATTGGCACAGCGCAGTACATGGCACCCGAGCTCACGGCGTTCGAAAGCACGAACGAGGCGTCCTTTCCCGTCGATGTCTACGCCTTTGGCGTTCTCCTCACCGAGCTGAATACGGGCGACGTGCCGTACAGTGACGGCGACTACGTGAGCCAATTTGCGCTCTGGAAAGACGTCCAGGGTGGTCGTCGGCCTGCACTGCGAGACGACTGCCCCGCGTGGTATCGGGACCTCGCGATCGCGTGCATGGCCGCCGAGCCAAACGCTCGCCCTACTGTGGCCGAGATCATTCACCGTCTGGAGCGTCAGTTGCTTTAGCTGGAACACATATAGTCCGTTGGCGACCGCGTCGAAGACCATTCGGGTCTTCAGGAGTGGCTGTAACTCGACAATGGTATAATAGAAGATACTATGGGACATTATTGTCATATCGTTTCTGCAGATTTGGTGTCGCGCCAGAAATTTACATGCACGTCCACTCTGCAGTGCATCGCACAAGCTGACGAATCATACCAAACATCCTGAAATTCGACTCCAGAGTGTCCAAAATGGCGGCGTCTACGGGCGCTGGTGACGGCCACGCGTCCTTGCACGAGACATCCGATGTGTCATTGATGTCGCCTTGAAAGTACTGCAGCGGCCTTTTGACGTTTGCCGTCGAGTGTGCGCCCAGCGACGATGCTTTTTTTCCCCGTGCACCCGGCAGCATCTACCCTTGCGCGCGAGGGTCTCGCAGCCAAGAGTATATACATACATGCAATTGGATGTAGTACTCTAGCTTGCATCCGACGACGCAGCAAACGCGACCGACGTGGCGAATGCAGACACCACTCGAGTACACGACGCAGCGACAACTGTGCGCACGGCACATGCGGCGAAGCGGGTTGCTCGGGCCCGTGTCTGACACAGTGTCCGCGGCTCCGGCGGAGCGGCAGCAATTTCTCAAATCCTGTCTCCGCCATATGGCTTTTAAGACAAATTTGCGCCAATTTCAGAGACCCACTTTCTCATGAAAAGGTGTAATTTGAACACATTTTAAACTCCTTTTGCACTCGCTGCGCTAGTGGCGCGCTGCGCGCGGATATGTGCATATATGTCCGTTGAAGTACGAATGCGACTGACGTCTGACTTATCATTTTGCCTCAAGCGACACATCGACCATGAGCTTCCGAACTGAATAGCGCACTGGGCGTGCATGGCTTGTCTACGACGAGGAGCTCAACGCCATCTTTTGCTCGGTCTGCAAGTCCGCCAAGACCAACAACATTTTCGCCAAACCTGGCGGTTACACGGGCGGCCCGACCAAGAAGCTCGTGCTCAGCCAGATCAAGAAGCATGGCGACAGTGAGAAGCACAAGGAAGCAGTTCTCCGAACAGCGAACGCTTCGGCCATGCAGCTCATGCTTGATAACGCACGCGTGCTCGAGGAGAAGCGCACGGAAGTCTCGACGCACCAGCAGTGGCAGCCCCATGCGCTGCGCCTATTTTCTCGCCAAGAACCAACTGCCGTACGAGCTCATGCCGCAGCTTTGCTGTCTCGTCAAGGACAGCATCGATATCTTCAACGCCGCAGACTCGTTCGACCGCAGCGTCCATGCGTACGGCTCGTCCGGCAACGCCAAAAGCGCAGCCGACCTTGTCTCGGTGTGCGAAACCTCGGTCATGCAGACGACCAAGATGGAGATCGACGCGGCCATGTACTTCTCGGTTACGTGCGACGAGTCGACGGATGGCGGCGGCGAGAAGAATCTCATCGTCATGGCGCGCTATGTGTATGGCAGCGCCATTCGCGTGCGCATGCTTGGTGTTGTCACGCCGGGCACGTCTGACGCTGTGCTTGCGGCACTGCTGCGCCTCATCGAAGATGTCGGCCTCGACTACCGCGACATGGTCGGGTTTGCAAGCGACGGGGCATCGGTCATGCTCGGTTGTCGCAACGGCGTCGCTACGCTACTCAAGACCAAGATCCCACGTCTCGTTACCTCGCACTGCCCCGCCCACCGCCTCAACGTGGCTGCCGAGGCCGCCGAGGGTCCCTACGAGGAAGAGCGTATGAGCGTCGTTACCGCGATCTACTCGTACTTCAACAAGTCGCTTTCACGCCAGCAAGCCTTGGACGCGGCGATCCAGCACTGCAAGTCCAAGAATCCGAAGCCTCTGCTCGGCTGGCTTTCTCGTGGGCAAATGATGTCGAACTTTTACGAGCTCTTGGATCCGATCGCGCACGTGATTCACGAGGACAAGGGCTCCGCTGCGTCCGTCCACGCCGTGTACCTCGCCAACGATGGCTTCCATTTCTGGGTTGCCTTGATGAACGACATTTTGGTGATTCTCAACAACCTCAGCAAAGCGCTGCAAGCATCCGACATGCACATCGTCATGGTCGGTCAAGCCGTTGCCACTCACGCGGCGCACCTCAAGGCGGCATTCCCGGCTGGTACGTCACGCTCGAGCGTGATGACGCCGTCGGCATGCTCCGTCCTCGGGAAGCTCGAGCAGAAGGCCACCGTCGACTACGAAGCCCTCGATGAGGCGTACGAAGCTAGCGTCAACTACGTCGAGCGCCTTGTCGAGGGCCTCGAAGAGCGCTTTACAACAAGGACGCAGGAGGTCGTTGAATCGTTTTCAGCTCTCTACCCGTTCGGCTTGAAGAAGGCCGAGTCGCTCGGTCCTTTCGGCAACGAAGCGGTGATCAACCTCGCCAAGCTGTACGACTTGGACGTCCCGTCCCGGTGGACGGTACGGCTACGGCTCGGACTTTCTCAAGAACGTCCTCTTGCTCGAGCATTACGTGACAACGATGGCGCCGCAGCTCGATGAAGCCAACTACGTGGGCCATCGCCTGCCGCCGGTGCTGGTCGCTGCTGTCGATAGCTACGTCTTTGCACCTCGCCCGTCGATCATGGACATGCTACCCGACACGGCCGCCAACATCATCAGCGTCATTGCTGTCGGTCTTGCCTCTGCGGCAGTGTGCCAGCCATCGCTGCCACTGCCATCCAAGGCCATTGATCGTATTCTACGCGCAGTGACCGACCCAGACCTCGACTCGTACTCGATGCGACGCATCCGTGTGGATGGCATCCAGAGCGTCCTCTACTTGGCGCTCGCGACCAACCGAGTCGACGCGGCGCTGTTTGAGCAATGTGTTATCCTCTGGGACCTCAAGTTGCTGCCTGCGCTCCGGACTCTCTGCGCCACGCAGTGTCCCAACTTCAGCACGGTATCGCCTTTCGTGATTGCGTATCTCCGCCGCGTGCCGAAGTCGCTCGGCACACCCGACTGTTGGCGCTCCAGCTGGTATACAGACGACGAGAAGATCTACAAAGATGCGTCCGTCGCGATTGGTGTCCTGCTCTTGCTCGATGCGATCGACCTCCTCCAGCGACTCTCGCCCACGACTGTTGTGCCCTACCTTACGGCGTGTCTTGCGGCGCTGCCAAGGACGCTCGAGGCGACGCACTCGCTGCTGGCGCCTGTAGTGATGCATGGCCCGAGAGTCAAAGTGCTGTGGCACTTGGCAAGCCAGCTGATTGCGCGCTTTGAAGCGCTTCCGAGTCTCCCGACGTACGCCAGCTTTGCGATGTGCGACATCAAGCTCGATCCGGCGCATTGTGCGCAATGCAGCAGAGTGCACAAGTTTCTGCAAAGCCCTGACGATGCCGAGTTCATTCTATACCAATATGATCTGTGCGATATGATCGCGCGCGTCATCAACGCCCACTCGACCCGTCTCGCCTTGTCTCCACCGAGCTACGATGGATATTCCCGTGCCGTTTTGAAGCGGCCCCAGCCTGGCCAAGTGACGAAGACCGAGTGGAAGGCACACGCGGTCGCCATCCAGAGAATGGCCAGCACAGCCACCGTTGTCGCCACTGTCAAGGAACGACTGCGGTTGGCCGGAGTTCGGACCCAACGACAAGAGAAAGACGACCAAGCACCCGTGTCAAAGCGACCCGGCAGCATCACGAGTAGTTCAACACACGAAGCACATCATCATTGCATATTATAAAGACAGGCCGTGCCTTCGTGTCCTCTGCTGTTTTGGCGACCACCGCTCGATTCTTTTTAGAGCGCGCTGCCGCGTCACTACCCTTGTCAGGACCGCTGCCTTTGTACGGTGCTTTTCGAGCTCGGCCACCGAGATTTGGCCAAGATAGCGTATATTCAATAGGAGGTAGATGTCGACCGAAGGTGTCGATGCGCTTGACACATACATAGTAGCGAAACCAGATCTGCCAACAAGTGAGCTCGTCGGCCCGACGCTTTTGCTTCATGTCGAGGCTGCCCAAGACGCGTTTCGGCGGTGATGGGCACGTGCGCTGGCCATTTTGCTGATGTTGTAGCGGCATGTTCAGAGACTTCGCAGTGCGCAAGGCTCAACCCTGGCAAGAGCACAACACGAGCCTGCAAGGCAGGTGGAAAGGGAGCGTCGAATGGTCACCCAAAAACCGCCTTCTGTGAGATTATATGACATGGACAACATCGATTCTTGGAGACCATCGTTGGAGATACCTGAGACGAATGCGGCGTCTCCCACATGCGCGTATTCTGGCGCCTCCATGGTGTATCCGAGTCAGCGTCAATCCTTGCACCTCAAACACGTGAATTGTAGCCAATCACGTCCTGTTTATCGAGCTCTATATATAGACTCGCTATTTAATAAGCCGACGCGGATTGGCTGCACCGCGACCATGTTGCACTTTCCACCAGCCGCGATGAGCGCCTACGAGACGGCGTACGAGCTCCTTGACGCCCCAGGCACGTTTGCAACGATTGGCACGTTGAAGAACCCATCGCCGTTCCTCTTTACGCTCCGTGGGATGGACGAGCCACTTGCGTGGCCGCTCTGCGTCGCGCAGGCGCGAGAGATCGCAGCGCTCTTCCCCGACACCAAGATCATCCCGGCGTCCGCGATCGAGTTGAACGAGCGGTACCGTGATGGCCTCGACGACATCTTGCAGGAGGCGCACGAAGCGTGCGAATCCGCCTTGGTGCCATCGGATGCCTTTTACGTGAATCTCTCGCACATGGTTCTCGATGACGAAGGCGACAGCAACTGTCTTCGCCCCTTGCCCGCCGCCGACGAGGACGAAGCCGCGCGGACGTTTGGCACTCTCGTCGTGCTTCTTCCGTCGGCGCACGCAGGAGGCGTCGTGACCTTCTCCCATGGTAACAAGACGCAGCGATTCAACGACGATGTCTCGTTGCTGCATGCAGCGTACGCTACCACGTTTCTCTCCTCGTCCATCTCGTCATCGCCCATCACATCTGGTCGCTTCGCCGCCCTTGTCTACCGTGTTGTCTATGTCGCGGCGCACTTCAACATGCGCTACAACCCGCCCGTGCAAGATGCTGCGATTGCTGCCTTTCGAGCGGTCGGTCTCTCGGTGACGGAACCGCACCACCGGATCGGTTTCGACGTCCAATTGCCAGAGGTGCTGCAAATGTATAGCATCGGCGGCGAGCAGGGTCATGTTTATTCCAATTGCTCGATGAGATGCCCAGAGCTCTCGTGCACGCTTTGCTTGCGACGGGCTGCTTTGATGTCGGCCTTGCTGCTTTTCGCAAGTCCGGCAGGAACGAGAGAGTCGTGAGCAAGCTTTGTCCGCATCCCGAGTGCGACATGCCGCCGTCCGTCGTCGCTTCATGCAAAAATATCCAGTGGTTTCTACAATTCCAGGCCGTCGACCAAGACACCATCGAGTGCCCGGAACACGCCATCGTGTTTTGGCCCAAGCGTCACCGGGCGTGGCTCGTCGGTATCGCCGACGCCCTCGCGTTCGTCGTCTCCCATTTCGCTGCCGCCCAGCCTCTCGACAGCAACCTCCTCGGTCTTGCAGACCCGCGCGAGCTTGTAATGGCTGTCATGTCGGCTTTTCACGTCCAAGACCGCAATTCTGGCTGGCACGAGTCCGCTGAAGCATTTGCCACGAGACACAAGCCGTCGCTACTATCGCAGATGCAGCGCATCTTGGTCGCGTACAACGACTTTGAACTCACAACGACATTTCTTCGCGACTGCATTTCGATCACAAACGACGTTCCGCTCGCTGAAGTCGCTGTCTGGCTCCATGGTCTCTTGACAACCCATGGCTGGGAGCGCTTCGAGCCGGCAATGCTCGAGCTCGTCCAGCGCTGGATTTGAACGACACCGATCGCGACGCTCCGGCTGCTCACGAGCTTGGCTGGCCTCGACACGGACGACAAGGCGGTGTGCCCACCACTCCTTCAGCCATTCGAGGCCGAGCTTTTCAAGCGCTGCTACCACATTGTACAAGCGACGCCCGGCCTCGGACCCAGCCTTTTAAACGCCAAGAACGACTGGTATGGCCGCGGCTCGGACTTTGTCAAGTACAGTCTCTTGCTCGAGCACTACGTGACGACCATCGCGCCGCAACGGGCGGATGCTAACTTTGTGGGCGCCTGCTTGCCACCGGTGCTTGTCGCTGCAGTCGACACCTTTCTTTTTCCAGCGCACCCGTCCATCCTCTTGACGCTGGCCAGCACGGACGCCGATCCGCTCATGGTCGTTGCGGTCGGCCTGGCCTCGGCCGCGCTCACCCAGCCATCGCTGCGACTGCCAGCGACCGTTCTCGAGGTCATTTTTTGTGCATTGAAGCAACTGCCACCGCGACGTCCGCGGAAAGCCTCGGTCGATTCGTACCTCAACTTGCCCCTTCCACAGACCGTCACAAGCGTGGACGCTGCTCGCAGCGTGCTCGTCTTAGCGCAGCGAGCGAACCGTCTTGATGCGACCTTTTTCAACACGTGCGCCGATCGCTACGGGCTCTTTATACTGCCAGCCATCCGCCCGTTGGCAGACAACCGAGTCGACCTCGGCGCCTTGCATTCGCTCGTCGTCGAGTACATCCAGCGCTCGATCCATGTGCTCCTCGACAAGATGGCGTGGCCAGACCTCCACGAAGTCGTTGCGAACCGTCAGCACGACGGGCAATCCGTGTCCATGGGCGTACATCTCACGCGCGAGGCCGTCATGCTTCTCCAGTCCTATGCACCCGAGAGCGTCGCGTCGTTTGCGACGGCGTGGCTGAAGGCGCTCCCGACGGACATCCGCACGACGCACAAGCTCCTCGTGCCGCTTGTGGACCTTCTGCCGCGCAACGTGGCGGCGTATCGACTACTGGCGGCGGCAGCCATTGCTCGGTTCGACGCGACGCCGCCGCTTCCACCGGTTGTGGACTTTGCACTTGGCGACGTGGCTCTGGACCCGACGCACTGCAGTCAGTGCAAGGCAACGCGGACGTTCTTGGACGACCCGACCACCAACGTATCCGAGAACATCGTGATGACGGGAAGCCCATGGGAAAGCCCCGAGCAGTGCCCAAACATTCTCGGTCTTTTGCAAGCCCACGCATCGCGCGTGATCCAGGTCGAGCCCCGGCGCGATTGGCTGGAGGCCTGCAGCTGTCGCCTTTTCAAGGTGGCCCAGCCCGGTCAAGTTTCGGTGGCCCAACTCGGAAAGCACCGTGCAACGGCAAGGATCCTAGCGAGCGTCGCGGACGCCGTGGCGCGCTTCAAGACGACACTGCAACGGATCGACAAATATGCAGAAGACTCTTTGAAGCCACGGCCGCCCAAGCGCCGTCGCCACGGATAAATACTACTACTTTCAACATGACGTGGCAACGTGGATAGAGAGAAATGCCTCAGAGTGGAAATACGCACCACCTGGTGACACCAGCCCATAGGCGAGTACCAAAAGTACAATGTTGTGGACACGAGAGCAGTCAGATAGGCATTCCTACCAGCCCCCTCCACGCGACCCTGATTCGAC